TGGGGCACTCTTGTGGGACACTCTTACAGGACACTCTTGTGGGACACTCTTGTGGGACACTCTTGTACGACACTCTTGTGGGACACTCTTGTGGGACACTCTTATAGGACACTCTTGTGGGACACTCATGTGAGACACTCTTGTAGGACACTCTTGTGGGACACTCTTATAGGACACTCTTGTGGGACACTCTTGCGGGACACTCTTGTAGGACACTCTTGTAGGACACTCTTGTGGGTCACTCTTGTAGGACACTTGTAGGACACTCTTACAGGACACTCTTGTGGGACACTCTTGTGGACACTCTTGTAGGAAACTCTTGTGGGACACTCTTGTAGGACACTCTTGTGGGACACTCTCGTCGGACACTCTGGTGGGACACTCTTGTAGGACACTCTTGTGGGACACTTTTGTGGGGCACTCTTGTGGGACACTCTTGTAGGACACTCTTATGGGACACTCTTGTCGGACACTCTTGTGGGACACTCTTGTGAGACACTCTTGTAGGACACTCTTGTGGGTCACTTGTAGGACACTCTTGTGGGAATCTCTTGCGGACACTCTTGTGGGACACTCTTGTGGGACACTCTTGCGGGACACTCTTGCTGGAAACTCTTGCGGGACACTCTTGTAGGACACTCTTGTGGGACACTCTTATAGGACACTCTTGTGGGACACTCTTGTAGGAAACTCTTGTAGGGCACTCTTACAGGACACTCTTGTAGGACACTCTTGTGGGACACTCTTGTGGGACACTCTTGTGGGACACTCTTATAGGACACTCTTGCGGGACACTCTTACCGAACACTCTTGTGGTCTTGTGGGACACTCTTATAGGACACTCTTGTGGGACACTCTTATAGGGCACTCTTGTGGGTCACTCTTATGGCACACTCTTGTCGGACACTCTTGTGGGACACTCTTGTGAGACACTCTTGTAGGACACTCTTGTGGGTCACTTGCAGGACACTCTTGCGGGACACTCTTGCTGGACACTCTTGTAGGACACTCTTGTAGGACACTCTTGTGGGACACTCTTGTGGGTCAAACTCTTGTGGGACACTCTTGTAGGACACTCTTGTGGGACACTCTTATAGGACACTCTTGTGGGACACTCTCGTAGGACACTGTTGTGGGACACTCTTGTAGGACACTCTTGTGGGACACTCTTGTGGGACACTCTTGTGGGACACTCTTGTAGGACACTCTTCTGGGACACTCTTGTAGGACACTCTTGTGGGACACTCTTATAGGACACTCTTGTGGGACACTCTTAAGGCACTGCGGACACTCTTGTGGGACACTCATACGGGACACTCTTCCGTGACACTGTAAAAGGACACTCTTGCGGGACACTCTTATGGGACACTCTTGTAGGACACTTGTAGGACACTCTTGTGGGTCACTCTTGTAGGAAGCTCTTGCGGGGCACTCTTTTGGGACACTCTTGATACCACAAATCAGCCCGCTCACCAGCGACACGCCGCGTTTACACCAGCATGTTTCGCGCTCCGCAGTGTAACGGCGCCAGACAACGCAAATCCGAATGGCACTGCGACATCAGGAATTTCGCCACACGGTCTGCCCATACACTAGAAGCAAACATATCGCACGATACCGCCAATCATCCCGCTCACCAGCGACACGCCGCGTTTACTCCAGCATGTTTCGCGCTCCCCAGTGGCACGGCGCCACGCAAACGCACTTTTCACCAAGGCCGCGCAGATCCCAATGGCACTGCGACATCACGAATGTCGTGTCGCCACATGGTCCGCCACCCACTAGAAGCAAACATAGCACATAATACCACCAATCATCCCGCTCACCAGCGACGCGCCGCGTTCACACCAGCATGTTTCGCGCTCTCCAGTGGCACGGCGCCACGCAAATGCATTTCTCACCAAGGCCACGCAAATCCCAATGGCACTGCGAAATCGCGAACGTAATTTTGCCACGCGGTCTGCCCATACACTATAGCGTTTCGTACGGACGTCCTCGAAAAGTCACGCGTACAGTCTCCTAATCGAACGTTTCGTGCGAGACTTCGAGTCTGCAAGACGAGCGTCTCGTTTCGTACGAGACCTCCTCCAAAAGTCACGCGTCAAGTCTGCAAAACGAGCGATTCGTACGAGACTTCCTCCAAAAGTCACATGTCAAGTCTGCAAAAAGCGAGCGACGCGTACAAGACTTCCTCGAAAAGTCACACGTCAAGTCTCCAAAACGAGCGTTTCGTGCGAGACTTCCCCAAAAACTCACATGTCAAAGTCTGCAACTGCACCTGCCACGAATCTTTCCGCGTCCACACGTCTAACGCGCAAAACGTACTGCGCCTGCCACGAAATGTCACCTCCGTCACACTTTTTTGCACGGGTCGAGGCGCTATGTGTGCAGAGGACGCACAAGTCACCTTGGGCTGGTAAAGAGAGAGTTACGAACCAAAAAGCCAATCAACACAACACCAAAACAAACAAACACCAAAACCAAACACCAAAACACAGAACCCACGGCCAGGTTCGTAACTCGAGTCGGCTATGTCAGCCAGTTGAGAAAGGTGAGACGGGGGGCGATGAATTCAGCCAATGCCCTCAGTACGTCATCATCACGTCATTGCGCGATCTCACAAGAAAAGGCTGTTCAGCATACTCGCAGCAGATAGGTCCTTTGAAACCTTTGTGCGAGGACTTCTGCAGCCGAGTGGTCATGCATCAAATGAGGCCACTTCGGTCAAGTACCGTGTTGCACAGTATGGCAGAGACTGGGGTTGCAAGAGTGCTCGGGTAGCAACTCAAGCAGTGGCAGATGACACACTCAAGACCAACATCATTCGAGTTCTGCAGGCAAAATTGTCGGAAGAGGACTGCTAGACCCTTGCGGCTCAGGGAAACCCACTATGTCAGCAGACGAGGACTTCAAATCATCGAAAGCACGAGACAGCGGAGCCGAAACATGCAGTGTTGTTGTAAGTTGTGAGCATGCACACTTCCGACAGGAGGGGGGAGACGGCAACTGCGCTCTTCGAGTTTGCGGCGATGACTCCAAAAACAGCTTTGCCACGGGAGTCACAGAAAGGCAAACTTTCAAAGAGATCACAGGGAGCCAGACTGAGAGGCAGACTGGCTGATTGGCAACAGGATGTTGAGCATCGATTGACGCCTTGCAGGTATGCCGTGAGTTTGTGAGTTCTTGAAACATGCAAGCCCCTTACTGGGTGAGACAGGGTGAAACGCCGTTGTCCTATGTCCCATTTGCTATACAGGCCTGTACTCTTTGTACACATCCAGGACTGACACTAGGTGGCAGCCTGGGCACTGTCTAGCTAATCTGTGCTGTCGGTGGCAGGACCGGCACTTGGGCGCCGGCCTGAGCGTCTAGCAAAGTTAGTGCAGGTCCTTGCGTAGTTCCTCGCAAAAATCTTCAGCATCAACCGCCCTACTACTGCCTTGATTCGGCGGGAGAAGATGAATCCACTTTGGCGCGTCGAACTGATGGCATTTGTCAAAGGCACTATGCTCAGCGTATGGTCCTCTCCATGTCGTTCCAGCTTCTGTTTTGTGAAATTTACAAAGTTGCGTGCATCCTGCAAATGCTATGCAAGGTCTTAGGAACTGTACAGCTGTACTCTATGTATTCATCCAAGACCACCTCTTGGGAGGCAGCCCTGGGTACTGTCTAGCTACTCAGTATTGGCAGCAGGTTTGTGGCTTTTTCAGGACCTGCATGTGGGTGCAGGTCTGAGTTGTTAAGCTTATCTGCAGTTCGATTCCGCACAACTTCTCATGAAGTCGGCCCACTCCTCATTACTGTCGGATGGCTTAGGGAGAAGCCGAATCCATTTTGGGAGTGCGAGTTGCCTGCATGTTTCGAAAGCATCGTGCTCTGCGTACGTCCCTCTCCAAGTGGTTTTGTTTCCTACTCTCATGAGTGTACAGAGCTGTATGCAGCCAGCAAATGCTCGTTTGTCGATATAGAGCAAGGCAGGTGGGGTGTGTCGCTCACCCAACGAGGTGCAGTTCAGAAGGGCGTCTCGCCCAATGCGCCTAACCATTTTGGCCAGCCGAAGCTGTTGCAGCTGCGAGCAGTGGGCAAAGGTGCCCCCCAAAATCTCACTGATATGTGTTTGTGAGATGTCTACTGTCCGCAATCGT